GACAAGTATCGAAAAAACGACGAATCGAAACGAAGTACTAGATTATTGTGTAAACCATAACTGTGCAAAACTTAATCCCGATCGGGCTAGTAGTTGCGAAGATATTTCTGAAATCACACCTTTTTGAAAAATCCTTAACAGAGACAACCTAATCCTTAACTCTCAAATAAGATCAAACTTGTGCAACAAACCACTATGAACACAGAAACTCTGAATCTTTGATAATACTAGGCTATGATCAACACGATTGCCTTCCTAACAGCAGCAAAGACATCTTGGTAAAAACATTAAAATTAATTTATAAATTGGAGACACACAGATGCTTCAAGTAGAGTGTTGCTTTAATTATGCATGCACCATTATTGCAAGAAAATTGTTATCAGACGAAGTCTGGTTAGCAAGCAAATGCATGATAGCAAAATTGTCTTACAGAAGAATTAACAAAATCTGATTCATATTAGTGACATTTACCAAAAGTATCTGGTAGTGTGAAGTATTCCCAGCTTTGATATTTCTCATTCACACTGTATATGCACTTTAGAGGTGTTATTAGTCTATCAGTATCATATAAAACTTACCAGAATGATAAAACAGAAGATAAAATAATAATTTTTAAGGTAATTTATAGATTACCTATACAAGATTACCTTAAGTTTGCGGAAGATAACATACCTGTAGGGTAACTAAATGAACTTTATTTATCTATAAGCTTTTTAATGATCCTGTATAGTTAATTTTTCTCTGTTACACAGATGTTAGAAGAGTAAAGCGTTTTTCGGCTTCCACATCCGCGTTATTAGAGATCACAGATCCCACATACTTAAATTTCGGGATTGGTATTTCATCAGGGTAATAGATAGTAGCCTTACTGGCTGAGCCTTTACAAAAACCGCATTCCAAGTGCTCCGTCTTTAATCCGCTCACTTTGAGTCTCACAGTTTCTAAAGTATTGATCCATAGGGAGAGTGTGGTCTCGAGCTCAGTTGGAGTTTTGGCGATAAGGACGATGTCATCATATCCATCACAAGATTAAACAGCAGAAAGTGCCCTGATGAATACCCACTTCCACTTCGAATTCTTGGCTGATACCGACCGAATACCTAACTCTGGTACGAACATTGTGATACATATCTTGTATTAAATGTATGTAACATTCAGGCAGATGTTGTGTACTGCGAGATCACCACACTGCTTTCCGCGGCACCCGCTCGAACGCCTTCTCAAGGTCTATAAATTTCCGGCAGTGCTTTTCTGTTAATATTCTAACTGCCTGCATTGCATCGATTATTGATTTGCGAAACTTCGTATACATGTATGGTTCAGAAAAAAATGGGAAATTTCAAAACCGATTAGGAAGCATAATTAGATTCTACATGCAGCCTTATTAATTTACTGAAGTGATCCAAAATGGTTACCGTTTTATTTTGTAAACAGAAAGCACATTCGTATAAGGCATCAATTGAGTTAAATCATCATATTAGGCAGATTTTGCGTTATCACCATTAAAAAGCACCCATAGAACCTCTCAACGACAAAGTTTATGACTTATTATTTTTCGATGTAATTTAAAACTTCTTTCCTATAATTTTCTTATACTTATACTAGTTATAAAGTAATTGTTAGTTACTGCATCTAAAATTCTTTCAGGTTTCTTCAGGTTGAATATTAAATTAGCTAATGTAGCAGATCAAAATTAATTTTGACCTCCTTGGGCCGTATTATAAAATTAGTGTGCTTTTTTAATCGTTATTAATCATTTATGATGGACCTTTTATAAATACTAATCTATCAATGCCATATAAAATATGACAAAGTTGAGCGTAAGTCACTCCTGCTAATATTAAATATAAAAAGGAACATTCAAGAATGAATACTTTTGGGTATACAGCAATGTAAGATCGTGTTTTTAATATTTGTGACCTGTATAATCGTATATTGGCAAGATTTGATTTATATATCTTCTTAATTAACAAAATAAGAATATCATGGCCCATAGCAAGCTATACATATGATAATAATTATAGAGCTATTTAAAAAAACTTGGCATTTATTTGTCTCTATCTATTGTCAATACCTATTATTTGAGCAATAACAACCCGATTGCTGGTAAAGAGAAATTTGCAACCGCCCTGAACAAGCTAAAAATAACAGGTTTAAAAACTTGATTAAAAAGCTCTAGAGAACGGGCAGTGTTTATAGTGATAGTGTTAATAATATTGGTCTTTGCGCAAGTGTGAAATCGCCCAAAGACATCAGATATGTTCCACAACAAGTCGGACTCAACCGGGAACCTTTGTGGTAAATTCTTGTTCAAAACATGAAGCTCTTCCCATACAAAAATCAATTTCATCAGCCATTGAGTGCCATTATAATTGAACTACATTTATATTTCGTCAACACTATAATCACTACATTGATTTCATGTAAATATGGCATGGTTTAATAACGAAGTTAACCTTCAGAATGACTCACATTGTTTTTTACTCTGTACCTTAAACGTCTAACAGTTTGCTGTGTAATGTTGAGTTGCTGATATGTCAATATCAGCAACTCAGGTTCATATAGGACTGAGCAGATATCGAACCAATAGACGGTTTGATGTCTTAAGCCGTGTGTCCACTACCAAGTTTTCTTGCGGAAGTTGCTTCCAGAAGTGACTTCCGCAAGAAAACTTGGTAGCGGACACACGGCTTTAGAAGAGTAGATTAGAGACCGCAATCTGTCTTTGGGATATCCAGAGGCTACAATCTGTTTACAGCCATAATCTGTTAAGTTCAACCCTTGTTTCTCAATGTTGTGAGACAATATTAAACACAATTGCCTCGACAGTTCAGCGAGTGTTGCAAAATTTTGCTCTTCGTATACACTACATTATAGCCGTCAATCAAACATGTCGCACCTTTAAAAATAAAGTGGCACAACTCAAAAATGGAATATTTTTAGTTTTAATCATAAAATGCCATAAAAAGACTCCCTCTATCAATTTCCGCTTGTTTGCCTAGAAACACTATTATTTGAATTGTGTCACTTTAGTGTTTAAGGTCATGACCTAATTCCAAATAGGAAATAGGTCATGTAGCTGCTTTTGCAATTTGAATAAAATTTTTGAACTTAATAGTTTTTAAAATTTGAAATCAATTAAATAATTGTCATCCTGTACTTATTAAGGTATTCACAACATAGAGATCTGCTATAAAATTTCAGATTGGAAAGTCCATCACTCACTTTGTAAAAGTTATTATTGGATGGAAAGAAGTCTTCATTTACGAACAGAAATATTTTAAAGCTTTGTAAAAAGAATTTAAATTTATTTTAGTCATTTTATCACGTTATATTGATTACTACAATTGTTTCAATATAAACGATGGTCATGGAATTACTAAATCAATCAGTTGGTTAAGTTTTCCGAAGAGTTAGTTTTTCCAATAATCTTGGAGAGTATCGGGAGTTTCGCAACGGATTCGATGGAGTAAGGATTAAGATTCGTCGATTCCCGAACTATTTAAACTATAAATTGCTCCGGTTTAAGTTATCCTGGCGTGGAATTCTCTGAGAAGGGGTTTGGGTGAGTTTGTATTTGATTTAAATTACAAGCCGGTTAGAACCACGGGTACAACTTTTAATTGCCTACGATTGGAGTTCTAACCGCATTTATGAACTTATATTCGACGATATCCTTTTGTCTCCTTGGAAATTGCCAATCTTCAACTTGTCTTTTGAATTGAAAAGGATGTTGGAAAGCGTCTGTTATTAAAACTAAAATTGGTGGTTTAATTTCTGGTTAAAAGCTTTTATTAGACTATTAAAATCAGTAAATGGTGCTTGTTGACGTGAATCGTTGTCATAAAATCTGTGCACTAGAGATAGGTGTGCGTTGATTTCTACACGTACACGATTGCCATTAGCGTCCCTTATCGGGTGTAAATCTTAACGAAACTTGGCAGTAATTCAGTCCCGAAGGCGTACGACATTCCGGGTCACAGTCGTGATATAAATCAGGCGTCCCTAAGTAGAACAAACTCGTGCAAATCATGGTTTCGAATCGACGTCTTCAGTCGGCGTCGGCGTCTACAAGTCGTCTTGTGGACCAACATTTGTTACCAGACGGCGACGCCGCCATCCTCCAAATTTCCCCTCTTCTTCTCCAGACATCTAGACTCCAAGTCGTAATTTAATTCCAAGCTTTATTCCACCATAACCAGAGAAAAAAATACTAATAAAAATTCATTTTGTTACAATGAAGCTTAAAAAAATCTTCTTTAAAGAGGTATTCATGTATGGATTTTCGTGATAGTAAAAACATGTAAGGGGCTTATTTAAATATACCACTGGCCGTGAAATTATGAATCGATTTCCAATGGTCGGGACATCGCGGTAAGTTAAAGACACGAAAAACTCGCGTTTTCCACGCGAAATACTTTTCATATAAAGGTGAATATGTTTATTTTATAAGCATGAAGAAATTTGATTCTCGATACTAGATTTTTTTCAAAAGAGCTTTTTTGCTCTCTAAGTTCGAATTTTGCGATTAAAGCTAACGACACCGTATTGTCCATTCAGGGGGGGTTGAAATCGTTTCCTCCGTACTGAAAGGACGGTGCACTTCACCCTTTCCGTTGTGAAGAACTTTCAGCGTTTACGGCGGGGAAGTTTAAAGGTCATTCTTTCAGGGAAATAGGGCAACAGCTTCCTAACGGTAGGCTAGATCTCGATAATTGAAAGGTCAACGAGTTTCGTTTCATAGATTCCATGGATTCATCTTAAATTATTATTTCTCTAAATAAAAAGAAAATTTTAGACTTAGAAGATGGATAAAAACCGAAATCGGTTAAGTTAATAAAGTAATAAATAAAAATTTGTACCATATCATCGTTATGGAAAAAAATGTATTATCAACAATTAAATCCACACCCGGTTTAAACGTAAACAAACAAACCTCTTTATATAGATTCTTCGTTGAGTATGCAGAGTATTATAAAATAAAAATTTTAATAATATACCTGGTTACGAACGTTGATGACTAGTTGGGTGTCACTGATAACGCACAACGACAGTAAAACGATTAACGTACACGATCGTGACGAGAAAACGAGCGATAACGCGGTCATTTTCGCGAACTTTTCATATATGGACGCGTAATCGTACGCAATCCATAGCACAACAGCTGACTGAACTGCAATTCCCTCTCTTATAGCCCAACATGCCGACCAAAAATCCGTTTTGCGCATGACCCAAAGTCCATGTGGCGTATTGATTCGGGCGACATCGTGTTTTATCGGATATAATCGAGTCATTTTTAAAATTCACTTTACACTATTTCACTAATAAAGGAAATTATACAAAACTGGGTCACCTTTGTACTTTGGATTTTTATTTCATGTATTCATAGGTTGTACCCAAGTTAGCATCCGCAAATAAAATTAAGTACTTCTTTTCCATAACACTTTTTGACAAAAAAAAACACTTTTTCCCAAAAGGTCCAATATTTGAACTATAGGCATAAATGTGTCCATAAATATTTTTAATAATTTCAGACCACTCAAAACTACAGAACTCATTCAAATAATAGTTGAAGAGGATTTTTGGGGGCTGATGTTTTTATCACTCCTCCAGATGATGGTGCTGAAGATAGCGGCAATGAAGAGTTCTACAACGACATCAATAAGCTGGATGGTCGACAGCTTTAAGCTGAAGCTATGGCGAAAATTACAAATCAAGGACGGATTTTCACAATTGGTGGTAGCGACACTGATGAATAGTAAAATAGTGACGACGAATCTTTGTCAGAAATAGAAAAGAAGTTACCGAAAAAAAGAAACTGGAAAAAATCCGATCATGTTCATGGATTTCCCAATTTTGCGAAACCCATGCAATCAACACCCATTCCTTCTGATCCGGTGGAATGCTTTGAGCTTTCTCTTGATGATAGTATTATAAGTGGTGTCATGTAAAACAAAATTTATTTTTACATGTAAGAACATGTCTTAAACTATTTTTCTGCTTAGTTGCCACTATTGTGCTCAGACATTAGTCGTAGCTGAAAAGCAACTTTTCTATACTCTTTTCATGGAAAGATGTCGCCAGTGACAACAAAGTTGTCTTAAATTTTTGTTTTTCCACTCCATCGACTGTTGTTTGGATTTTAGAATGACATGACAAACCCAAGTTTCATCGCCAATCACAATTTTGTTTAAGAATTCATCTTCTTCATCATTGTATCGAGTAAGAAATGTCAAAGCACTTCCAAGTCGCTTCGTTTTGTGAACATCCGTGAGCATTTTTGGAACCCACAATTTCCGATAATTTAATTGTTTTGTGACTATCTCATGCAATACAGTGAATCAAAACAGTACTTATTTTCCGGACACGCCTTATATATCATTTTTTGCAGAAATAACGACGTTATATGGACACCAAAAGGGTGAACTTAATTTCCGCGCTACCTATGGAGAAATAAAGTATCTTTTTGGCCATGCTACTATTATCTGGTTATTGTGTTGTTCCTAGATGGAGAATGTGGTAGGAGCTAGGAACCGAATCTTGCAATATGGCAGTAGTGAATTCTATCAGAAGAAATAGATTCGAAATGGTAAGAAGTCATCTCCACTGTACAAGGTGTCTAAATTTCGATGGGTTTGCAGGGTATCTCAGTTATTATGAAAGATAAAAAGTTGCGGCTTTCGCGAACCTGAACTACTTTTTTGTGAAACATACAATGGCGCAAACCAAATTTTTATAGCCCTCTTCGTTTTTGATATACAGGGAGTGTTTCAAAATTTACGATTTTCAGACACCTCCTGTATCTCGGAAACGTAAAAACAGGTTCTAATAGATTTTTGCACGTAGAATCCAATGGTGCACGTAGAATTTTTCTAGTCATCACGGTTTTTGAGTTATAATGAGTTAAGTATTTTAGAAGTTGAGTATTTAGTATTTGAGTTGTGTTTATAACTCAAAAACCGTGATGACTAAAAAAATTGTACGTGCACCATTGGATTCCACGTGAAAAAATCTATTAGAACCCGTTTTTACTTTTTTACTAAGTTTCCGAGAAAACCAACTATCAAGGAACCAGCATTAGGTGTAGGCAGTGATGGGCCCGGTGGGTAGGTATTTCTAAAATGGGTATTCATCCGGGTATTTACCCCGGCCCAGGGTAAATACCCAAACAGTGGGTATACCAGTAAGTAATACCAGTAAAATTATATCAGATTCAAAAAAAAGGCGAAGAGGAAGGTGATGAGGACATTCAAGACGAGGAATAGTCAACAATCAAAGACGTATTATCATTAGACCAATCTGTCGTAATTTAGATTAGATCAAGTTATTATGATTATTATCATCAAGCAGCCCTTTGCGTCCATTGTTGGACATAGACCTCCCCTATTCTGTTCCATTGGATTCTATTCTGTGCTGTCTGAATTCAATTGTTCGTCATTCTTTTGACGTCTACTTCGTCTGTTCGCTCGCCGTCTCCACTCAAGCAACCGTTTTGTCCACTGCTCATACTTCATTCGCACCACTTACGCTTTGCCACAATGTTGACCACATCATTTACGCCAGTTCTTCTTCATAGGCCTTCATTTCGTATGTAGTCCCTCAGAGTTAGACCCAGGATCGACCTCTCCATCTACTTTTGTGTTACTTGAACCCTCCTGGCAGTGGCTACCGTTAATGTTAAAGTTTCGGAGCCTTATGTCATAACCGGAAACACACATTGAATGAAAGCGTTTCTTGGCCTTTTCTCTTGAAGATGTCTCTAAGTTTCCCGTAGACTGCCCATACGAGTGTTTAGTTCGCTTGTTTGATAATCTCTCGACACATGAACCTCATAGCCAAGATATACATAGCCGGGAACAAGATTTATCATAAATTTTGATTTCTCCTCGTTGATATTTAGCCCGACTCTTGCACACACTAAGCACAAATTACTTAAGCATTTGCAATCAATGTTTATGTCTTTTTGGGTCAAATCCAGTTGTTTAAATACACTCTGAGGACTGTGATGAACAATTTGGGTTCAACAGTGTATCGTTTTACTCACAATCAGTACTTTACTACTTCTACTCTCTTCAGTACTTTCAACCGGAAACACGCATTGATTGAAAGCCTTTCTTGGCCTTTTCTCTTGAAGATGTCTCTAAGTTTCTCGTAGGCTGCCCATACGAAGCTCATAGCCAAGATATACATAGCTGTCAACCCTCTCAACCTCATTATCTCCAGTGTTGATGTTAGAGCTGGGAACAAGATTTATCATAAATTTTGATTTCTCCTCGTTGATATTTAGCCCGACTCTTGCACACGCTTCCTTTAAGTCGTTCAGTATTAGTTTAATCTCTCCACGATTATCCAATATAGGAACTATATCGTCCGCGTAGCGCAAATTACTTAAGCATTTGCAATCAATGTTTATGCCTTTTTGGGTCCAATCCAGTTGTTTAAATGCACTCTGAGGAGTGTAATGATCAATTTCGGTTCAACAGTGTATCGCCTTGTTTTACTCATAACCAGTACTTTACTACTTCTACTCTCTTCAGTACTTTCATGCAATTTTACCGTCATTGTAGCGTTCTTGTAGATGTTATAAATAAGTTTGGTATATCGATAATCGACTCTGCATTCATGAAGTGCTTGCAAAACTGCCATCAACTCAATTTAAATTAAATTTTATAAATATCTCTAAATACCCATCTTGGGTAAATACCCTCGGGTATATATCCAGGAAATTTACCCTTGAAAATAAATACCCAGGTATTTAACAATAATGGGTGTAGGAGAGTCTGTTGTACTTGGACTGATAAAATGCCTACCAAAAAAGACTAGTTTTAAAATTTATGGCGGCAGATTTTTTTCTTCGCTAAAACTAGTAACTCATTTATAGGAAAAAGGTATTGGGTACACGGGAACTATCAAATACAATAGAATTGAAAAGCGTCCCATAATGCCTTCGAAAGTAGTAGAAAAGAAGTACTATTATACAAATGTTGCCAATAAGATAACCGTTACAAGCTGGCAGGATAATAGAATAGTTCTGATGGTCAGTACTTATGTTTGTACACTTCCAGAATGTAGAGTAGAAAGGTGAATATCAAAACAGAAAAAAAGGTGCCAGTTGCGTAATCTCATATAGTAGCTCAATACAATACATTTATGGGCGGTGTAGACAGGATGGAAGAGAACATAGACAATTATAGGATTTGCATTAGATCGAAGAAGTGATTAGATAAAGAAAAGGACTTGGGCAAAAAAAGGATTATTTGCATTTTCGAAGAATAGTTGTGCAAATGTATTTACAAAAAATATGGTTTTCCCCCGGAAGGAGGAGGACGTTCATCTTACCGTAAAGAATTAGCTTCAAGAGTGCCAACGCAAGCGCGATTTGAAGAAAGCAACCACTGGATTGTCCACGCAAAAAAACAACATATTGTGCTTTCTGTGAAAAAAACACGACAAAGTCGTGTCAAAAATGTAAAATCAATCTGCACGAATCCTATTTTATTCACTTTCACACAAGATAATGGAAAAAATAGTCAAAATCAGTCAGTTACAAATGATAAAAGCTACTACACAAGAATGACACTGGAAACACAAAAATCTAAATATGATGGAAATTCCAATATTCAGTGTCTAAACTGATTATAAATTCTATAAATCCCGAAATTTGCTCAAATTTCCGATAAACCTTTCCAATACTTGGTGCTATATGAAGCAATTCAAATTAGATTGATTAAAAATTCTACTTAAATGAAATAATATAAAAAAAAACGTTTTTTGCTCAATTGCAAATCTCTAACAATTCAAAGAAAGCTGTTCTTTCTTTATAATTGAGAAATGACAAGTATTTTTTCCGGTTTGCTGTTTCAAAAATAATAAGAAATAAGATAGTGTTGAAATTAAACTAGTCAGAAATTCTGCTCAACTCAAACTTTGATAAAATTCAAGAACAATCGGTTTTGCATAGGTATCGAAAATAACAGAAATATTTTGCGTTCCATATATGCCGTTACAGGTTAGGAGAAATACGATCAAATTAAATTGATCAGCAATTTTTTTCCAAACTTTGCAAAACTTCAAGGAAAACTGTTACTATACAGGGTGTATCAAGTATGAGTAGAAAAAATTTGAGGGGTTATAGGTCTCCCCCTTCTGAATAAATATTCTTATAACACAATGTCCCATTCTTTGCCATTCTTAAGATATAATACGATAAAGTTAAGGGTTTGAAAGTTTAAGTACTTCTGTATAAAGAATTATATTAAACAGGCTTTGTTTATGTAATATAGCTTTAATTTGACACATAAAAGTCATTTTTGAGATATTTTTTTAGAGGTAAATTACTTTATACGAATAAATTTATCACTTCTGTTTTATCACTCTTTAATGTGAAAATTTACAAAAATTTAGGTTTTAATAAATAAACTTGCTTATTGTATTAAAAGCAACAAAATTACAAATTGCAAAGCAAAGCCTGCTTAGTATAATTCATTAACCTGTACCACTCAAACTTGTGAACCCTTAACTTAATCGTATCATATCTTAAAAAGGACAAAGAATGGTACATTGTGTTATAAGAATTTTTTATTCAAAAAGAGGAGACCTATAACCCCTCAAATTTTTTTTACTCATACCTGATAAACCCTGTATAAATGGCATGGGACAAAAAGATTACGATGTAAATCAGTCTAAATTGATCAAACATTTTGTTCAACCCAAACATTCTAAAAATTGCCAAAATACGTATTTTGCCGATGAATAAGAAACGAATAAGAACTATAATTTCTGCCTATTGCATTGAAACTGAAATTTACTAAATACAGATCATAACTATACATATGTATAATGTTACACACCCACCTCATACCTATCAGGAATAACTCACAAACAAATCATTGATACCTTCCTCTTCGATCAAATTGTTCGATCTGGAATTTTTGGGAAATGTGCTGACGAATCTGCCCTTTTAGTTATACTTCCAATAATAACCCTATTTTACTAAACGACAATATATGGTTTCAGAACGATGGTACAACTTCGCACTTCACAATATTTTAGACAAGATTTTATATACTGAATATCTTACACTTTAATAAATCATGTTACTGCTGAAACTTATAGTATTAGTAACACAAAGAATCAATATCAATCACATTTGCTCCATTAAATTTAATTTACGATTTAATCCAATTAATTTAATTTGTTCATTAGTGTGATGCGATCGATACTATCAAAAGCATTTAAGAGATTAACTAATTACCTATTGACCACATTCATTCTTAATAAGGCTGTTCAGTGCAAATTAACAGTTTCCAATTCTAATGGATTGAGGTGCAAATGAACAAATTTGTATGGTTAAAGCAGCTTATGTTAAATATAGATTTAATGCATATTACCTTCGTGTACTTACCTACAAACTTATACCTATATACGTATTAACTATAAATTTAATTCGCATTAAGGGATTGTATCAATACGTCCTTCAACACAACCGTCTGCTCATGCTTGACGAAAGTTCACACGCTGTAGCAAAATAATGGAGTTTGCGAGTTTTGGACGTATATTCAAACATCATAAACCAATATAGCCACAATAATAGAAAGCTGTAATATCTATTAAGCTTATAAACACATACAAATAATTATGCAACTACATATTGAGTTAATAATAATAAATAAAATCTCATTTATTATTAAAATAATTTTTATTTATTTTTTTGAATAATAATAAGATGAATATCCATAACATTAGTTCCTGTGTGTCCTGTTTTAATTAAATGAGTTCCGTTATCAAATTGAGAATAAAAGTTGTAAGAATCGTTATTGGGTAAGAATTGAGTGGGGCTAATATGAAACTGGGCGGCTTTATTAACTAAGTTTGAACTTCCAAGAGCTCCCGCGGCGTCAGTTGGACCGTCCATGCCATCTGTGCCAGCGCTGAGAAATGAAATATCTTCCATTTTTGCACCACTAAACTTATTAACTTCCACGGAAAATCTTAATGCCAATTCCTGGTTCCGACCCCCTTTTCCCTTACCCTTAACTACGACGGTCGGTTCCCCGGCACCTATTATGCAAATGTTCTTGGAGAAATCGAGCTGTAAGAAGTCCTCAACGTCGATATCGTCCAATTTTGATTTGGCCGACTCAAGAAAATTGCGTAAATCGGTTTTACTCGTGGAAGAGTAGATCAGAGCAGCCAATTCAGCGTAGAATTTGCTTAAAACTTCAACGTCGTCTTGGATTTTTGTCGTCAAAATTCGGGTTTCGTATCCGAAAGATATCGCTTTTGTTCTGCATGCTTCGACGGCAAGTTTGTTATTTCCGATAATAAAATTTTCGGCGTTTGTAACTTTAAAAGTATTTTCTGACTTTAAAATTACTTTTACGTGCTCCGGAAGTTTCTCAAATAGTTCGTATTTTTTTATTATGTTTAAAGCTTTGTCTGGGGAATCAAGATTTGTTACGGTTGGTCCACTTGCAATAAAGTCCAGTGGATCTCCAACTATGTCCGAAAGGATTAAACTAATTACTTTAGCTGGTAAAGCTAATTTAGCTAAACCACCACCTTTTAATTCAGATAATTTTTTTCTAACTGAATTTAATTCTTTTATATCGGCACCTCCTTTACTTAAGCTTTTTATTATAATTTGTTTTTCCTCTAAAGTCATTGGTTCCTTTGGATATGGCAATAAAGCTGAACCACCACCAGTTATTAAAACAACGACCAAATCCTCTTTATCCAACTTTTCGATCATTTTTTTAATCTTTAAACTTCCTTCAAAAGCATTTAAATCGGGAATATTGTCTTTAGCGCCCTCTATAAATTGGATTCGGCACTCACACTTAGGTCTGCCTCCAAATTTCGTAAAAATCCCGCTAGGTACCGTTACAACGCCATTTTGAAGGTTCTCACCCAAGATATCTTGTAATTCCAAAGCCATTCCATAAACCCCTTTTCCAAATCCAACCACATAACACGGTTTTTTCATCACAAACTCGTTTCCGTTCACTATTAACGTCTTATTTTTGATCTGAACCGTCTTCTTGATTAAACTCTTTGGTTGAACGGAAGCCACACCCGCGAGAAATATCGTGGTTAAATCGTTCATTGTTGAGAAGTTACGGCAATTTTTAACGAAATTTATCGAAAAATTTCGGTTTAAAGTAACGAGAATCATAGCACACTCAATTTTGTTTAAGTATTTTTGATAAGAAAGGTTGAAACGTGACAAGTTAGGTTAAGTTTAGACGTTTCGTATAAATATAAAAAGAAATAAGATGTTAATAAAATAATGCAATTGGTGTTAATTTGGTAATGATTTGATGTTTTTGATAAGAAAATCTATTGAAATATATAGATTATTTATGGTAAAATAATCATCAGGCAGCTGAATTATAACGTTTGTAATTTTGGTTGCCTTATATATTATATGTATCATCAAACTGACTGGGAGATAAGTTTTAATTTGCTAATTTATATTGTACATTGTTAGAAAACAAACGCTGTTGGCATTTTTTAATTTTTTCCTTTGATGCACTAATGAAAAGAACAGGGGAATCCCAGAGAAGAACAAGGAAATTAGGGGAATCCCGATAATCTGTACGTATGTATTTCACAATAGTAAAGTTATTTGAGCTATTTGGTTCATGCAATTACATAGTGCGAATTATTTTATCAGTAAAGCTTATGTACTTGTGCGTTTATTTTTTGAACTGGTAAGTTTTCAACATTTATAGTTTTTAAGGTATCTATTATATGTTTCTTTTAAATTTGTTAAAGTTTTATAATGTCAAAGGATTTGAAGAAAAATCAAATAAAAAGAAAAGTTATGTCTTTAGAACTAAAATTCAAATATTAGACCGTCTACGTAATGGAGAATTTTACTCTATGAAGATCCCACCAGAAAAAGTGTAGCAGCTGGAATCTGCAGCAGTATAAGTACGATTTCATATGTTTGAGATGTTACAATGGAAAATATGGAAAAAGCGTTAGTGATATGGATAGAACCCAAACTCCAAAGCGAAGCTCGATCGATACCAATACTGTTACAAATAAAGCTTTGACGATTTATCAATCAGTTCAGAATCAGTCGTCGTCGATTTAATCCGGTGAAAAGAAGATTTCTTTTTCCACAAGCCATGGATGGTTCGAGAGATTTAAACAAAGACATTCTTTGTATAATCTGAGAATGAAAGGTGTGTATCTGCTGATTCGGTTGCAGCACAACAATATTCGGAAAATTTTGCTGAAATCATTACCGCTAACTCCTACACTTCTGATCAGGTTTTCAATGCTGACGAGTCTGGATTTTTCTGGAAAAAATGCCGGAAAGAGCTTTCATAGCTAAAGCTCACTAATCAGCTAATGGTCATAAAGTAGCATAAAGTCGTACAACAGTTCTTTTCTGTTGCAATGCTTCTGGCGGTTATAAACCATTGGTGTTTAACAAATCAAAATCACCATGCTCATTCAAAGGAATAAACATTAACAACCTTCCCGTCTATTGGACGGCTAATAAAAAAGTATGGGTCATTGCCATAGTGTTCCGTAACTTCTTTGTTGCTGATGTCAAAAATTATTTAACTAATAAGGGATTGCCGTTTAAGGCTCTTCTATTAATTGATAATGCTCCAGATTTACAACATGAAAATGTAAAGGTTGTTTTTTACCGAAGAATACAACTTCCTTATTACAGCCGTTAGATCACGGGATCATTTCAACTTTTAAAGCACTGTACATCAAGCAAACTTTCAGGTTTATCTTAGAACAAATGGAGAGTAATGAATCTCATACTCTGTTGTATGCTTAGAAGAAATTTACAATTTTAGATTGTCTTAAGCATGTTGGACTTTCATACACTCAGATCAAACAATCAACGATTAATGCCTGCTGGAAATCAGTATGGATGTTGTTGAAAGTGAAAAATGATGAATACAGTATGAACGTTCTCGTATCACTGAGTTGGCCCATGCCATAGGAGGAGAAGGTTTTGAAGATTTTATTTTTTGTAGATTCATGATACAAAAAACATTATGAAGACAATGATTCAGATGAAGAGCAACCTGAAATAGTTGCGTTCTTAGTAAGAATCATACGCGTAGGACTTGAACTGGGAAAAAATTGGGCAACCATTTCATAGAATGTCACAAATGTTAATTGAGCTCTCCGATTCCAGCGAGACCTTCGTAAATACTTAAATCAATATGAAAAAGTCTATAAAGATTTTGCAAAAAACATTTCATGACAAAGTGATCCGAGATCTTTCCTAATCCGTCAACCATTGAGCCAGAATTGCATCAAGAAAGCTCAAGTGATGAGAGTGACATTATACCTATCAGAAAGAAAAGATTGATAGTTCATGAAAGTGATGATAGTGATTAATTTTTAATTGTCTTTTATTTTTTAATTTTTTATTCCTAATGTAAAATAAATTAAATATGTATAAGTACATATTTAATTTATATTATTTATTATTATTAATAATTACTTTCATATGTTTGTTGTTTATGAACTATGTACAATTGTGAGTTCTCCAAGATGTCTTACTTTTGTTTTACTTAAATAAATTACTGAATCATGCACATTTTGGGTTTTTTTTTCGTTTTATATGATTTTACTTAGCAAAATCCAAGATTTCAATTTACACGGTTTTGTACAGAACCTATCTTCCGTGTAAATCGGGGGATTTTCTTTCAAGAAGATATCGATCCCTTATCACTATTTTATTCATTCGGCAATACTCTATGCAGAAACATGTTGATTTGTTCTCTAGCATATTCTGAATTACACGATTCGATGGTGCAGTCTGTTATCTTTGGACAAATTGTTATTACTTTATTCTATTTCAAGATTATTTTCGTTTGTACCCCGTATTTTTGGAACTTTCACGTGCTTCAATTACTCACACCTTTTAATCGTATCACATCAGTTGTGAAACCCATCTTCTCCATTTTCTTTTTCTTCACTTAATAATCAGCCACGGGTGTTGTAACAGATTTTGCTGTTTTATTAAACCTCATTATTTGTCGTTTGCATAGCATAGGACTTTAAACTTTCTGTTTCCCATTTTCTATTCTCTTACTTTGCGTAACTGTGTTATAATGTCATCAGTTACCAAATGTCATTATTTATCAGCTATTAGCCAGCAATCTTGCTTGTTTAATGCCGCCACATATTTCGCCTGTTCGTCTTTGTTCACTTCACTATATACTACTATGTAAGAGTCATATACTCTTTATCACTTTCCATTTTTAGGTTTCTTGCAATTTTTCATTGTTCTTGTTCTGTTGAATGTTTTTATGTTTCAAGTAAGAAATCCCAGAAGAGTCTGATCCCAGATGATCTTTTTCGTGCATGGTTTATCATCTTTTGAATTGGTTATGTTTCGAGACAAATTTGTGAGTCTGTGAGCTATAATTACTTTTCCGGTGATTAGATACCCATTTCACCAATTCTTCTCTTTTTTCTCGGTTTTAGATCGACAACATGACCGTTTAGCCACTCAATTCACGAAACAGTCGAAGTTTTGTAATAAGTCATTAAATAAAAATAATAAATTACTGAACTTACTTATGGTTAGATATATCAACAAAAATGGAATGTACATGTGGCAAACACCTCGTTGATTAAAATAACATAAAACTACAACGCAATTGCCACTTTACACTTTCATTCCGATTATGCTAAGTACACCGAAGATTAACCAAAACGTAAATAACTTGGCAGATCAAGATAGAAATAAAGTTTTCTGAATTCAGACTTTTGAGGCGATTATTCAGTAATCCTTTCGATCTCGAATCTCTCCGTACATTTCCATTCTTGTTTAGAAGTGCCCTTGGAACATGCCTATCTATGCTCAATGATGTCAATGGATAACGTCGACTAAGTAGAACCTTTAATCCTAAGACAGAACAATTGGAAACGTTGGAAATTCAAATACTTTCATGTAATGTGGAAAATCTTGTCATCGTCGATGACTTGTCGATGATAATTTATTACTTTTTGGCGGCATCTATGTTACAATAATGCAATATACAGGAGTCCAAATAGTTCCCATACTATTTTTTAAACGTTAATTGACGTTGATATTATAATTTTTAATTTATTCTGATGATTTCAATGAATTCCTCATCTAATTTTAGGAAAATTTTCAAGGGAGCTTGGTGTCAGTATAGGTAACACTCAGGTATCAGTATTGGAGCTCGTTTATCAAAAGTTCTCTTAACTAAAATATTCTAATAACGAAAATTTTCGATAATGATTAAAAACACGAATCGAAGCCAATGGACGCAATTTTATACATTTATTGTAAATCTTTTTGATTAAATTTATTGTTATTCTTTTAATAAAGTTTTTTATTTTTTTGAATTGTGTGGTAATGCTATCCAGTTGAAATGTCTAACAAAAGTATGGAACCTTTTCGAACAACGAATTTGTAATCAAACTATATAAATAGGCAACTTAATTGAAAATTTCGCAATATTGGTTGCCGATTCAATTACAATAAAATTTAAGTCAAAATTAAAAAAAATGTTACGCACCTTTTGTTATCTATCATAGGATAATAGATAAAATATTCGATTTCCTAAATAAACTGCAGTATCGCAAATACAATTCAAGTTTTCATCGTAATTGATTGCAAAATTAAAACGTGCCAATTAAATTCAGATTTAAAACATTTCTTTGTGCTTTGTTTTGATGCCCGTGTAACATTTGAATATCTTAAATTTAGTGAGTGCACATGATGAAATTATATTTAATAAAAGGATGTTGTGAAATTATTCCGTCATTATTGTTTGTGCACTATTTTTTTAATTTCGTTTATCTGGATTCAACACGTTTCATACATATTTCTCGGTATAAATGAGGGTTGTTTTCAAAAATTTGTTAGTTTCTAATTAATATTATACGACATCGTTATGATTTATAAATTTCTTGTTATATTTTTAGTGTTAGTTGTAAAACCAAGCGAAATTAACAGTTTTTACAAAATAATTTCGGACTTTTTTCATTGTTATCAAATTATAATACAAGAAAGATGTCCGAATGAAAATGTAACGTTTTGGTTGTACAATAAACAAGTTTATGGTTATCAATTGAAAGAAAACGAATTAATAACTTTGCAAGAAGCTCCATTTATTCCGGATCAAAGAATAATTTTTTTAATCCATGGATTTACTGGGAATCGAGAATGCAGTCCAAATCTTCAAATAAAACCAAGCAAGTTTAATTTATGAAGTATTATTAATATTTATTTATTAATTTTTATATATTTTTTTAGAATTGATCAAGAAAGGTTATAATGTAATCTCGGTGGATTATGAAAATGTGGCTAAATTTCCTTGCTATCTTCAAGCAGTGGAAAATTCTAAAACCATTGCAAGATGTTTAGCTGATTTTATCGAAACATTATCAACAATAAAAATTAAAAATAAAAGTTTCTCTCTTGAAGATATTCATTTAATCGGTTTTAGTTTGGGTGGGCAAATCGCTGGAAAAACTGGAGCTTATTTAAAAGCATCCAGAAAAATGCTTTCAAGAATTACAGGATTAGACGTTGCGGGTCCTTTATTTTACGGCCCAACAACCTATTTAAATAAAAATTGTGCTAAATTCGTCGATTGTATCCACACTTGTTCAGGTAGATTGGGAAAATTATTTCCAATCGGACACGTTGATTTCTACGTTAATAGTTTAATTCATCAAAATG